AATTTATAATTTAAAAATCATCACTCACTATTAAAATATATTAATTTAATTTAAAACAAAGTTGTGACTTACCTAAATTAATTCAATAATTAAAACCTTTAATTATATTTAATTTTTTTAATATAAATGGGTTTGGAATTTCAAAAGATCTATATCTCTTCCCTTCCCTACAACTATAAAATGATTCTTTTTCACTCATTTCATACAACAAATTTGAGACATATGTTTTTCATTTCCTATCAACATTTTCACCCTTAGTCAAACTGATTCCATCAGTCGCGTCCATCAAATGTCAAACTTGCATCTTTCCATATCCACGTTGTCGAACATGGAAAATTTACGAGGGAGCATATTAGATTGAATTGGAAGCAGCTTAAGAAGCAATATGACATCATATATATTCAAAGGTCTGAAAAGGTCTGAAAAGTATACTTTGTTTATACATCTTTAAGAAAATGCATTGTTTCGTGGGGGAGGTGAAGAAAAAAAAAGACAAAGGTAAGATTTAAGAGATTTTTTTTTTCTTTATTGTTTTTGTTTTTTTTTTGTTTTCTTTTTAACAATGCTTTGAAAAATAAATAAATAAAAACATATTATGACTCTCTTTTAGAAAACATTGCTCATTCAAACGCATAAAAAAACTTGTATTGCTTTTTTATAAGCTAAGTATGATTCCTCCCTAGATTGAAAAAAAATGTTTCCAGTTTCTAGGTGCAAATATTTACGATGATAATTAAATGATAATATTTTAATAAGTAATTAAACAAATATAGTAACTAACCAATGCGCTTATTCTTACTTAACTTTCTAGTAGTTGTTCTTTAAATTTTTTGACGTATATTATTTATTTAGCGTTTAAGGTTATGGTTTAGGTTTTAGAATTTAAGGTTTAAGGTTTTATTTCTTATTAAAAAGAGGAATTTTCTTTAGTAGGTTTATTGTGTAGAATTTAAGGTTTAGAGTCTTATGTATTTGTTAAAAATATATGAATATAGAAAGTTTGGTAATTTTCACATGGGATCTATGGTCTCAAGATCTTTGAGAGAGAATTTGTTATGTAAAGAGTGAATCATATTCTCAACCGCAATCATAGCCCCTCAACTACCAAAGAACCTCTCTAAGCTCTTGAAGAACCTSTAAGACAAGATTAGCATTCCGATGAGCAAATTATTTTTTGTCCGATCTAACTTGCCGAGTAAAACTGGGTTTGCGTACCTTGCATTTAAGGCAGGAGTTTCTATTTATAGAAACTGGGCTCGACAGGAACTCTGACACACCGTAAAAATGCCGCGTGTTGTCGGGTTTTAAGAAACACTGTTACAGATAAGACTATAGGTCGGCTCGGCTTACTTAGGTCWTGCCTTGGGTTCCGACCTCAGTGAACTTGGGCAAATTATTATACTTTACACGGTTTATAGTCTGAGCACCTTTACGATTCTGACACGTGGCAAGTGGAAATCAGCATCCAACATTGGCCCCAACTTCGGCGGGGCGAAGGTCGGCTCGGTGAAGAACTCCGAAGTAACTGAGGATGAGTGAAACCCACGTGTTAATGTGTGACGTCACAAATGTCGTCAACCCTAATTTCTGTCTCTAGAACTCAGACGTCGCCACAGGGATCACCTATCATGGACAAATCTTGTTCATTGATTCTCTTTTGATCGGACGGTCCTCGTGCCTCCGGAGTGCTCTATAAAAAGCGAAGTTCTTTTCGTTTCACTTTTGACTTTGGAGTTTTTGAGTACCTCGGCCATCGCCCAAGTATGGTATTTCTCCCTCCTCCATTAGGTAGTTTTAGGCATCTCGATAGTTCTGACCATGAGTAGCTCATCGAGTGATTCGTCGTCTGAGTTGACTAGCTCTTCAAGTACAAAGAGTGTCCTAGGAGACCCGAACTTAACCTCCACCTCGGGAAACCCAAACGTAGCATCAACCTCAGGAAACCCTAACCTAGCTTCCACCTCAGGAAACCCCTACTGCTGGCCCGGTAGTCGAGCTTCCTCCCTCGACCTGCTCAGTAGGTAGACTAGTCGAGCTTCGTAAAACATACCTTATCCCTGATTCTATAGAGCTTAGGGTGCCCAACGTTGGCGAATACCTCGAGGATCCCCCTTCGGGCTTCGTCAGTTTTTATTCCCAGATATTTAGTAGGGGGGTTAGACTTCCTCTTCATCCATTCATCCAGAGGTTCCATAGCGCGGTCAACCTCGCCCCAGCTCAGCTCTCTCCTAATGGATGGGCCACTGTGCTCGGGGCTTATGTGTTATGGTGGGTCATTTGAGACGAGGATGAGGACAGGCTCATCGTAGATCAACTCTTAGCCATCCATACAGTCAAAGCTTCCAACGAGGAGGAGGATAGGTACTACCTCTTTGCTCGTAGGAATTTAGGTCAGCTCATTAGGAACCCCTCTTCTAATAAGAACTGGAAGGAGAGTTGGTTCCTCGTCTCCGGCGATTGGCTCGTGAAAAATGAAGGGGGTGAGCCGATCTACCACGTCCCAGTAGAGTTCGGAGACATAGGTGAGTGCCTCAGGTAAGAGTTAGGTTCTTTTTAGGTTTTTTTTGCTTCCTTTTTTTTTTACAATGTTTTGTGATGCAGCTCTGCCATCTCCCATCCCGAGGATAAACAACAAGTTATGGGAGATCATCAAGCGCGCCCAAGGTCGGAACCTGAGGTACACCTGTGGGGTGAGGCTCTCGTTCCGAACTCCCACCTCTTCTCCAGTGGCCTCAGACTGCATAACCATCCAGACGAGTACAAGAAGATACCTAAACCTTGGCAGCGCAGACCAGAGAAACGCAAGACTACTGAAGGTAAACTATGCTTCGTATTCTAGCTCGTACCTGAGATCTCCTTACTAACCTCGACTTCTTTTCAGAGATGGCTTCCAAATTCATCGCCCTCGGTAGCTGAAAGCAGTAGCGCGCTTCGACCTTGACTGCTTAATCTGCAGCTCCCCAAGCTCGTCAGTTCACGAGTAGCGTCGACGTTCTAGCCCCCGGGCTCGCTAACCTAGTCAAGGTTCAGGCCTTACAAGCCGAGCCTCTGCAAACGGTCGTAGGGGGCGAGGGGTCTATAGCCCCTCTGGCTCGGAAGAAACGGGGAGGGATGCATTTCGATCTAAGGAGGTCACCTCCAAATCTCCTCCGCCCCCCATCGTGGTCGACTCAGAGGAAGGATCCCCTCCTCGTCGCAATCCTGTGATGGATTCTGCATTCCATTCAAGCTTGCCTTCTCCCCTCCCAGCATTCATGAAGTCACGACGAAGGTGGGGTCTTCAAACTCTCGCGGGGTGGAGCGAGCTGTCCAGACGCCGGAGAACCCTGCGGAGGCACTGAAGAAGACGATGGCTCTTACTGTAGAGGTAACCTCGCTTTCACTCATCTTTTCCTTTTCTCCCTTCTTTTTCTTTAACATCA